GTGTGTGTGTGTGTGTGTGTGTATGTGTGTGTGTGTGTGTGTGTGTGTGTGTGTGTGTGCGTGCGTGCGTGCGTGCGTGCGTGCGTCCGTGCGTGCGTCCGTGCGTGCGTGCGTGCGTGCGTGCGTGCGTGCGTGCGTGCGTGCGTGTGTGTGTGTGTGTGTGTGTTCATTCCTTCTCCTGCACCTCCTTTCTCCCCTGCTCCCTTCACTTCACCCAGCTTGTCACTGGACTGAGAGCAAACACCACATTCTTTCCGCTCGCTTTCCGCTGCGCCCCGCCTTCTCCCGGTGCTCCCGTCTCCCCGCCACCACCTTCTCCGTCCCCCTCCTCCGGCTTCCTCTCTCCGCCACCCTCCCGCAGCGCCGCCCTGGTGTCGACCGCTTTCCCTCGCTGTGACGCATTAACCGTGCTGTCGGGAAGCGTCTGTGGCGCCCCCTCTCGGGCAGCAGCAGCAGCGACGTCGGGACTGCGGCAGCAGGGCAACAGGGCGCGGTAGGCGTGTCGGTAGCGTTCGTTAACGAGTGCGTAGAGGAGCGGGTTGACGCAGTGCGTCACCCAGACGGCCACCTCGACTATCAGATGCATGTCGGCGTTGTCGGCGACGTCGACAAACGCGTTGACGACAGCGTACGGCAAGTAGAGAGTCGTGTGCACGCACGCGATGACGAGAATCATCGCCGTCAGGCGGCGCTCGTCACAGGCTCGGCGACGCGCGCGCCGCTCGGCGGACGCCGACGCCATCACCTGCTCGTGTACGGCGCGTCGGCTGCTGCGAACAGCGCAGAAGATGCGACCGTAGCAGACGACGATAGCGACGAACGGAAGTCCGAAGCCGACGAACGGAAGTACGGTCAGCGCAGAGGGGCCACCTGGCGACGTCGGCACGATCGTGCACAGCAGCAGCGACGGCGAGAATCCGAAGCGCCCCCATGCGCCGAACAACGTCGGCGCGAGCTGCAGCAGCGGGTACAGCCAGCAGACGGTTACCATGGCGACGACGTTGCGACGCGTGTACACGCGCGCATACACGCTGCCGTGCACGATCAGCACGTATCTGTTGGCGGCCACCGCCATAAGACACATGAGCGCAGCACCCGTGTTCACGTAGTACGTGTACGCTACGGCGACGCACAGCGACTCTGGGTAGACTAGCGCGCGACCGAAGAACAGCGCCACCTGTAGGGGGATGTTGGCAGCACAGATGAGGAGTCCGCACACGCACAGAGCCAGCACGAACACTGTGGTAGAGTTCTTGAGAAGAGTCGAGGAGCGCGCCAGAGCCAAGATGGCTACGCCGTTGCCAAGGACGCCGGCGACGGCGACGGTGACCGACCAGGCGCACGCGAAGACGATGACGGGCTCCCGCAAGGTGGCGTTCATGCTTGCCGACGCGTGTCCTTTTTTGCTCGTTTTCTCTCCTTTTCTCGTTCTCTTTTTTTCTCTCGTTTTCTTCTATCTCTCTCTCTGTTTCGCTGTCTTTCTCTCTTTCTTTCGCCTTTTATTCTTTTCCTTTCTTACACATTTTTCTTCCCCTTTCTTTCTCTGTCTCTAATTTCCTCTCTCTCACTATCTCTCTCGTTCTCTCTGTCACACACACACACTTCCTCTCCCCAGCTCTCCCTACCACCCCTGTCTCTCTCTCTCTCTCTCTCTCTCTCTCTCTCTCTCTCTCTTTCTCTTCCTCGCTCGCCCACTCTCTCTCTCTCTCTCGCTCTTTCTTTCTCTCTCTCTCTCTCTCTCTCTCTTTCTCTTCCTCGC